ACCGAGTTTCATATGAATCCGTGCAAGTATGTGTGAGGTATACATCAAGTTTTCTGACTGTGTTCCAGGGGGCACCGTAGAGCCCCTGTGCCATGCCCGGGTCCCAGCCTCTGCGGCGTCCTAATGGCCACAGATTCCAGGTACGACTCGGCACGGCTCAGTACGGCATGGCACGGTTCGCCTTTGCATTCCCACTGCAGTTCAGTACTGCTTTAGAGTGGGCGGGATTATTCACATGTGTTATAGTTGCGCCGCCTCTACTACCACGACTCCTAAAAAAAACGTTTTCATTACGCATCGCCCCATCAAGCTCTCGCTGGATCTGCTCCTCTGCTATCAATGAGAGGAACGTCTGTTCTTCCGCAACAGGCAACAAAACTTTTTGGTTGTTAAAAAAAAGGTGCACTCATTCAAAACAGTTGCATTCATCCTTCGCTGGCTGTGCTGATTTAAATCTAGCAGTTCTTTTGTGTTTGTGTCGCAAGTTCAGTGACGCAGGTAGTGACGATTCTCTCCGGCCAATCTGTGATCAGCAGAGTTTACACGTCACGTTTTGGTAATGGTATGGTTCACTTGGAACCCCAACCAAAGTGGTACTAAAAAATGTACCAGGTACTGTACCCAGTGGAAAACCCCCCAAAAGTGAACCGTACCGAGCCGTACCATGCAGTGGAAAAGCGCCATAAAGGACTGAACTAGGATGGACACAGCCTCGGTAGGATGCAGCCTTCAGTTTGAGAAGCATCCATTCACCACAGCTTTGCTGACAATTCTGGAATTTCGGTCAAATACATGCTTAGTTCACTGTTTATAAAACATGCAATATGCTTCAAATGATTGTTCATATATAAACATGCAATACAGTGCATGTTAAATCTAGTGATAATCCGCAAAAGTTTTGAAATCGCTCATTTACCAGTGAGCGCCGATCAGACTGCTAAAAATATGAATATGCACTACTTTAATGACAAGATAAGGTGATGTAGTTTTTGTGGAAAAAAATAATAAGGAACAGCATTGACAGCAATATCTTTGCTATGTTTAAAGTTTCTGGCCCGTCTGGAGTTAATTCACCCTCCAGCTGATGTGTGCTTAATGCATATAAATAGTTCTGCACAGTATGAGGATACTGTGTGTGTGTGTGTGTGTGTGCGATTAATTGAACAACTTTAGCTTTTATTTGGTTTTAATTTTTAACTAGGCCTATTCATTCTGTGTTGTAACTCAACTTTTAGTGTTATAATGTGGTGTGTTGCAGGTTTGAGGCTAAACCAGCATGTCTAGTCATGATAATGCTAAAGTGTTTTTTTTTTTTTTGAATGTGTACAGTTTCTCATGTGGTAACATCTAATTTAATTTATATAATGAACCTATGCATTAGGTTACAGTAATACAATTAAATTTAAAGGTTAGATCAGGTAGCTCCCATAACATCTGCAGGTTACCACTTCTTAATTGTGTACTATGGATTCTACAATGTGTTCTTTCTTTCCCCTCATCGTGCTCATTTTGGACACTTGCGGCCACGCTCTTTTGAGGCAGTGACCCAATCTGGCCCCCCATTTAAAATGCTGTAGACGCGTCCCTGCCTCCCGAGTCTTCGGATCTGAGGCGTTTGTTCTTTTGTCATGTGACCACATCACGGATCAGTATCTTGTAATTTTGTATTAGGTTATACTTAGGAATTATCAAAGTGATTTTCCCCATCACACAGATAAAGTTTAAAGCATTAGCCAATTCTTCATTACCACATTCAATGTTTTATATATATATATTTGTCTGTTACTGTTTGTCTCTGTCTTCTGGTGCAGTGGGAAATGGCCTTTAGATGTTTTGCTATTGAAAAAAAATTGCTATTGAATTGCAAAATATCAGTAATGAAGAACAGGAATAAAATGAAGAGCTTAAATCAAAATAATTTTGTATAGTGATATCTTTTAAGGCATTTTACCATTGAAATTAGCCAGTTAGGTTACTTCAGAACATTAAATAGTGTTTCAACTGTACCTAACATGGGTCCAAATGGAACAAAAAACTATTTATGAGCTAACTATGGAAAATATCAACTAAGTTTGATTATATTTTCTTTAGTAGGCAAATAAAAGAAATACCACTTGAAAAAAAACTTTTTAAAGTGCCCCTATAATGGGTAATGAAAGGATCAGTGATCAGTGGGGTAGTAATTGAGGGGAGACATCTACATTTACATTCAGTCATTTTGCAGATGATTTTTTATCCAAACCGCCTTACAACTGGGGAATACATAAAGCGATTCTTCTTTAAGAAGCAAACAGACACAGGAAGTGCTCATAATACCAAGTTTTAGGCATTGTTCAAATAAGTACAAGCTAGCAAGGGAATGAATAAATGAAGAGAAAGGCAGTTTTTTTTTTTTTTTTATTTAGGATGAAGTCAAGTAGCGTCGAAAGAGATGAGTTTCAGCTGTCGCTTGAAACTTGTCAGGGGTTCAACATTCCGGATAGGGGTGGGAAGATCATTCCACCAGCCAGGAATGGTGAACAAGAATGTTCTGGTAAGTGATTTTGAGCCTCTCTGTGAAGGTACCACGAGGCGTCGCTCACTAGCGGATTTCAGACTTCTGGAGGGGATGTAGATTTGTAGTAGTGAGTGGAAGTAGGCGGGTGCTGAGCCTGTGGCTGTTCTATATGCAAGCATCAATGTCTTGAACTTGAT